GGGGGTGGGTGACCAGCACCATGTCCGGCCACCTTTGTCGACCTCGGGCAGGCCGAGGAGCGGTTCAGATAATTGTCACTGGTGTTTGCCGTGAGGTGGGTATCGAATTCGTGTTGCCGGGTTCATAGTGCAGCGCGCTAATTGCTGCACCACCGCTCCCCACTGCCACACACACTGCAGGACAGGCCACACATACAGACACTTGAGTTGGGAATCGAACCCAGGCTGTTCTCGCTGCGAGGTGCGAGTGTCGCCACTGTGAGATAATGAGATGCGATGACGTTGCTGCTGCTGCTGCAGGAAGGAAGACAAGAAGGCAGAAGAGAAGATGAGAAAAATAAGAGAGCGGGAAGAGAGGGAGGCCCGGAAAAAGTTTAAGGTGATAGTCAAGTACAATTGATTTTTTATTGCTCTCTGGTATCTTTCTGGCATAAATCTGCCATCCCAGGCACAATTATATCAAACACACAAAATCATACAGCAAACAATATTTTAGAAAGCATAACATTTAAAAAATTCAATTTAAAGAGCATGAAACTATTCGTAAGTTCTTAAAATAATTCCTTACCACCATCACCACCATCCTCACCACGACCATCCCCGTATACCAGATGTGGTTGCGAGTTATTAAAAGCCACATGGCCAGGAGTCAGAGCCATTCCTTGTTCACCTTGGGGCGCGACATAGATCTACTCTGGCTCCCACATTATGAAACGTCTCCGACCACGTAGTTTGAGAAACTTCCCATGGCTGTACTAGTCGAATTTCCATCTGGAAGATACACAATGGGAGGCTGATCGATGCCCGGGTGGGGTCAAGGGATGGCCCCACCTGGGCATACCATGTTCATCAGCATACCATGTTTTGCATGCTGATCATCTGGTGATTACTGCCACTCTGAGAATGAGTTGGAGGTTCTGCTGCTGAACCTGGAGTGTTCCACTAAAAGGTGGTGCCTTACCATCAGTCGCACCAAAACTAAGCACCTGCTTGGGTATTTTGTGACATCCAATACTCCATCCCCTCAACTCCCAATGAGCGATGGGGCAGTTGCGAAGAGTGGATAATTTTTTCATTACCTGGGCAGTGTGTTTATGACCAACTCCACTTTGGCAACAGAGGTGTCACTCTGAATCAGCAGAGCAGCATTATCTTTCATCAGCTGTGTAACGCTGTGTGGAATTTACCAAGTATGTCACTCCACACGAAGCTCCAGGTCTTCTCGGACAGTTATGCCCTCCCTTCGCTCTGCTTGCACAACGTAGAAACCTCTAATGGAACAGCTGCGGCAGTGAGAAACGAAGGGTGGCCTGCGCATGATCCATCTTGGGTTTAACCAGGCTGCAGTGTGAGGAGCTCACAAATTCTTGAAAGATCTGAACAAATTCCCGTCATTGAGCTCCGGCAGGTGAGGCTGCATTGGCTGGATCATGTAGCCCACATGCCGAGCCACCACATGCTCAAGCAACTTGTGTTTGGCCAGATAGAGGGGCTGAACAGGCATGGCATGGGCTGGAGAAGAGATGGACTGAGAGGATGTGGAGCTGAGCGGACTTGCCGAAGACAGGTAACCAAACGGTGTCAAGATTGGCCTCTATGGAGGAGGGGTGTGACGGACGCTTCTGGGAAATCGGAGGCAGTCGCCCTCCAGCTACAGTGGAGGGCAGAGGAGCGACACTCACAACAATGAATGGAGTGCAGTGCAGCATGTTGGAAAAGTAGGGGGCACAGGTGGTACATCTGTCAGACATCTCAGTCAACCCGTGGCAACTGGGTCTGACCCGTGACCTGTCAGCGAGCCTTTTACACTTCACGTGGCCTTGGAGTGCACCTGGCGTGGCACAAGCGCCGTGGTGACATCAGGACCCACCACTTAGTGGTGATCGGCGTTTGTTGTGGTGGTAGTTACAGTAATTGTTGTGATGCTGGTGATTATAGTGATTGTTGTGGTTATAGTGGATGGTGTGGTGATTGTAATAGTTGTGGTGGTTGCAGCTTTCTGGTGACCTCCCCACACTCTCTGTGGTCTCGCTGCTCCGTGACCTCCGACCCTTGGGGCGCCTTGACCTCTCGGGGTCAAAGGGCGACACCTTTGACCTCGTACAAAACACGGATGAGATGCGGGCACTGTGCCGCAACCGCCTGGGAAAATGTGAGCATGCAATCACACGCAACCACGAACAAACGCACGCCACCACAAGCAATCACAAAGAATCGCGAGTAACCACACGTAACCACGACCAACACTTGAGCAACAACACAAGTGTTGCTTGCTTGAGGGCACACTTGCGGTCGATGCGAGTGATTTGTATTCGGCAAAGGAAGAGACAGTGACACCAACTCTCTGTCACTGAGAGAGTCAAAGTGGCCCTAAGTAGCGTCGCTGTGGAGAATATACGCACCATGACTGATGCGCAGACAGGGCTGAGTCCGCTTTCCATGTCCGTCGCTCCGCATGTTAAAAACAAGGGGCGTTCTTTACACACCTCGTCAGCCGCATGGCCTTCTGGGAGTGAATTAATTTGGCAGCATTTATTCAGCACAGGCAAAAATCTTCAGAAAAGGCTGCTGTTTGGCAGTTGCGGTTGAACCACAGCGGAGTTTCCCGAAGTGCGGAAATGAGGGATGAAGTGTGACACAAATCACGTTTAAGTGCATGCAGCCACGATAAATCATGCGCAACTACGAGTAGTCACAAGCAATCAATCAGAGGCAGTACCTCAACGTTGACCCTGTGTTTCTGTGTCTTCAGATGGGTATATTCCCAGAGAGCACTTATCTCAACCGGACCAAGAGTGAGAAGCACAACAATCACAACCAAAGCAACCACAATCGCTACAAGCAGCACATCCACAATGGCCAGTCATAAGCGCAGCAACAACCAAAAGCACCATCACAACCACCATCGATACAATAACTACAACCATGGATACAATAACTACAACCAATGTGAATACGACCACAACAATCACAAACAAACACAACCTCCGAGGCTGCTCAGTTTCACTTGATACGAGGAGACACTCTCACTGGGATTGAAGGGGAGTCAGACAAGGAAACTCTCTGTGGGATTGGGCGTTATGGACACGTAAAAACTGGCCTTCCTGTTTTTATTGCAGGGACTCTGACATCTACGACAATTTGGATGAAGGTAAAATTATCATCATGATCATCAATAAAACCATCACTACCATCAACCACCATTACTATTACCACCTCCATCACTACTACCACCATAACCAACACCACCATCATTATCAGCATCATCACCACCATAACTATCACATTCACCACCACTAACACCACCATCGTCATCACCATAATCGCCATCGCCATCATCACCGATTAGCACGGTTGGCTACATACAGTGCAAAAAAGGTCAACATACATAGACCATCATCATCACCAATACCAATATCACCTCCACCCTCACTCTCACTTTTTGATGGCGTTTCCTTTGCAGATCCTTGATCTTTGCTTTGATGTCATCGAGGTCCATCATGGACAGCTTCTCTAATGATCGTGTCACTGGATCCTCACCACTGCTCTCTGACTGATGTGTGGGACTGGGCAACTTCTCGGTCGACTCAATCAAACCGAGAAGCTACTATACATGACATACATTCTATATACACACTCCGATGCTTGTACGAGGCTAGGTGCGGACACACAAACATATCATCAGGCATTGTCAGTCCACTGCTGGATGAAGGGCTCCCCAATCCAGTGCCATTTGCCACTGCCTGGTAATGCAACGACCCATCTAGCTCCTAGTATACATGTCAATTTAAAATGCTCCATCTCCAAGATAGGTGTTCCTCCTTTGGCTGCATTTCTTTACCAGTCTCGACCACAGGACATCTTCCCTTCTGGCCGTGACGAATCCTGCCCATTTGCTTCTCATGACAGTTGACGTGATGTCTCGAACCTTTGGCGTTTTCTCTAATCCACGTGTTCCTCTCTCCTTTTTCTCAGTGTAATTCTGAGGAGGCACACCTCTCCATACGTCTGTGCACTCTTCAGTTTTTGTTCCATTTTCTATACCAGTGTCCATGTTTTTGATCCATGCGTCATAGTGGGTAATGTGTAACAATTGAAATCCATCTTCTCTCGGCATTGCCTCGTTGTGTGGGAGAGACAGGGGCAGGGTGCATTCACCCAGCTCTTGGAGATGTCCCGGAACCAAGGATGACCCCTCCATGTGAACCCAGCCATTCATTAACACTTCTCGCCTTTCTGACGATTATGAATGTGACATCGCTGTGAAACTAACTTTGACAATCTAATTTATCCAAATGTTTTATGGAATTTACTGTGAACTCTGTAGTAAATTCTTTACTAATAATTGCGTCAGTGTCTTTAAGCCGCGTAATATTGTTTCATTTTTATTTTAAGGTTGGACTATGTACTCTTAATTTAGGTTTCATGAGTTTGCGTTTGAGTGTATGGTTAAGTTTGAGGTTTAGTGGTTGAAGTTTAGTGGTTTGTGGTTATGGGTAAGGTGTTGTGTTTAGTGTTAAGGTTGGAGCGTTTTAGAGTTAGCACTTAAGGTTAGGGATGGGTTGGGTTAGAGGGTTAGGGTTTAAGATTATGGGCATTGGTTATAAATATTTCTGGTTGTGATCTGTGGAAGGGGATGAAACCTGCTACACACCCACCCATCCATCTACTCATTTACAGTGAGGGAAACAAGTATTTGATCCTCTGCTGATTTTGTACGTTTGCCCACTGACAAAGAAATGATCAGTCTATAATTTTAATGGTAGGTTTATTTGAACAGTGAGAGACAGAATAACAACAAAAAATCCAGAAAAACGCATGTAAAAATTTTATAAATTGATTTGCATTTTAATGAGGGAAATAAGTATTTGACCCCCTCTCAATCAGAAAGATTTCTGGCTCCCAGGTGTCTTTTATACAGGTAACGAGCTGAGATTAGGAGCACACTCTTAAAGGGAGTGCTCCTAATCTCAGCTTGTTACCTGTATTAAAGACACCTGTTCACAGAAGCAATCAATCAATGAGATTCCAAACTCTCCACAATGGCCAAGACCAAAGAGCTCTCCAAGGATGTCAGGGACAAGATTGTAGACCTACACAAGGCTGGAATGGGCTACAAGACCATCGCCAAGCAGCTTGGTGATAAGGTGACAACAGTTGGTGTGATTATTCGCAAATGGAAGAAACACAAAAGAACTGTCAATCTCCCTCGGCCTGGGGCTCCATGCAAGATCTCACCTCGTGGAGTTGCAATGACCATGAGAACGGTGAGGAATCAGCCCAGAACTACACGGGAGGATCTTGTCAATGATCTCAAGGCAGTTGGGACCATAGTCACCAAGAAAACAGTTGGTAACACACTACGCCGTGAAGGACTGAAATCCTGCAGCGCCCGGAAGGTCCCCCTGCTCAAGAAAGCACATATACATGCCCGTCTGAAGTTTGCCAATGAACATCTGAATGATTCAGAGGACAATTGGGTGAAAGTGTTTTGGTCAGATGAGACCAAAATGGAGCTCTTTGGCATAAACAACTCGCCATGTTTGGAAGAGGAGGAATGCTGCCTATGAACCCAAGAACACCATCCCCACCGTCAAACATGGAGGTGGAAACATTATGCTTTGGGGGTGTTTTTCTGCTAAGGGGACAGGACAACTTCACCGCATCAAATGGACGATGGACGGGGCCATGTACAGTAAAATCTTGGGTGAGAACCTCCTTCCCTCAGCCAGGGCATTGAAAATGGGTTGTGGATGGGTATTCCAGCATGACAATGACCCAAAACAAACGGCCAAGGCAACAAAGGAGTGGCTCAAGAAGAAGCACATTAAGGTCCTGGAGTGGTCTAGCCAGTCTCCAGACCTTAATCCCATAGAAAATCTGTGGAGGGAGCTCAAGGTTCGAGTTGCCAAACGTCAACCTCGAAACCTTAATGACTTGGAGAAGATCTGCAAAGAGGAGTGGGACAAAACCCCTCCTGAGATGTGTGCAAACCTGGTTTCAAGTTTTCAAGTTTCATTTACTAGGTATAGCCCTGTGAGCCATTCGGCTCTTGAATCGGGTGCAACCGCAACAAACAAAAAACAAAAACATGAACAGGAAAACATCTTAAAGGGACTATGTGCAAACAGAAATTCAAGAAAAGACAGCAAAATATTGCAGAAAAAGCACCGTACACCAACACTGTGCAAAAATCCCAGTGGGATGCAAGTCAAACAGCAACAACCACAAGACAACTTAGATTAAGGCCATCAGTCTAACTCTGTACTACAACAAACAAACATGGCCAAACCGAAAAACTTTTCGAAATCACCAAAATGAAGCCATAAAAGCAATGAAACAGTGATCATAGGAACTGTGACCGAATTTTCACAATAAACGATGTAAACAACATGTACTACCAAACTCTGCAGCCATAGCTGGCTGCATGAGTCACTCCACAACAGCAGGAGCATCAGTCGGAGTGTCAACATTTTTCAATGCACCTTTAAGATCAGCACACTAAATCAAAACACAGAGCATACTTTGCAGCGATCATCCGGAGTGAAACATTGTATTTTAGGCCACTAAATTGCAGTGGCAGCTAGGGGTGTACAAGTCCTCTAGAGCAGTTTTGAGTGAAGATCTCATAGGTAGTGATTCAAGTTGCAGTTTATTGGCAATAGCATTCCAGACCCTGGGGGCATCAATAGCAAAGGCCCTTCCTCCAGTATTTGTTTGGCAATAGGGAATGTGAAGCTGGTAAATGAGCGAAGACCTTAGGTCAAATTTGTTCTTTGAAACAGAGAGGAGATCCAGCAGGTAATCTGCGGATTTTTTTGTAAGTACATCATGAATAAATAAGATCTGATGCACAAGCCGTCGAACATTGAGAGATGTTAAGTTTGACCCAATGTAGAGATCGCAGTGGTGAGTCCTATATGGGCAGTTCAATGCAAATCTTAAGGCCGAGTGATACATTGAGTCAAGCTTCTTCAGTACAGTACCTGGGGCTGATTTATACACGATGTCACAGTAATCAAGTAGAGGCAGTATGGTAGCTTTTATCAATTCCAAACGGAACATAGGGGGGAAGCAGTGCTAGTGTCGATACAGAAAACCAATTTTTATTTTTGTCTTTTTACCAATATAATCAATGTGATCTTCAAAATTCAGCCTTGAATCAAGAATGCCCCCAATATACTTATAGATCTTGACTTGCTCTATTTGATAATTATTTAAGGAATGTAATTGGGGAAAAATAACTTACTGCTTTAGTCCTGGTGAGAAGCATAGCACCTTGGTTTTGGAGGTATTCAGGACTAGTTTAAGAGCAACTAGCTGATGTTGTAGTGTGTTGAAATCACCCTGGAGCTTAGCAATCACGTCATCCGGAGAGCGGCCAGCAGTAATCAGTATCGTGTCATCTGCAAAAAGATTTACCCTGGAATGATCCAGGTCAGTGCCCAATTCATGGACATAAAGAGAGAACAAGAGGGGGCCGAGGATGGAACCCTTTTCGTTATATTAACACTGTTTGACCTCCAACTATCTATGAATATAGTTTGGGTGCAAAAAAAGAGGTAATTTTTTAACCATTCCACTGCGTTTGGAGAAACCGAGGCAACTTAGTTTACTAAGCAGGGTGTTGTGGTCGACTGTATCAAAGGCTTTGGACAAGTCAAGAAAAAGACAGGCGCAGTACTGCTTATTATCAAGGCTACTGTAAATGTGATTCAGAGAGTCTAATGCAGCAGATGTGGTGCTGTTTTTTTTTCGGAACCCAGATTGTTTTCGATGTAATAGATTGTTGTCGGACAGGAAACTGCTAATTTGGTAGTTCAATAATTTTTCACAAATTTTCATCAACGGGGACAAAATTGAGATAGGTCGGTAGTTATTTGGATCATCTTTAGGTTGGTGGCCAACTACAAGAAACGTCTGACCTCTGTGATTGCCAACAAGGGTTTTGCCACCAAGTACTAAGTCATGTTTTACAGAGGGGTCAAATACTTATTTCCCTCATTAAAATGCAAATCAATTTATAACATTTTTGACATGCGTTTTTCTGGATTTTTGTTGTTGTTATTCTGTCTCTCACTGTTAAAATAAACCTACCATTAAAATTACAGACTGATCATTTCTTTGTCAGTGGCCAAACGTACAAAATCAGCAGGGGATCAAATACTTTTTTCCCTCACTGTATTTAGCAAATCAGTACACCACAAACTGCTTGCCCACTCATGCACCTAACAGAGTTTCCACATGTCTGGATATTGGCATCTGTGTTCGCGTGACAAGAATTGATTTATACTGACATTTGGTCCAGGGATTATGTGGAATTTAATTGTGGTTATACTCTGTAGTGTTGACCTCGCAATATATATTACAGTCTTGGTCTCTGAGAAAGGTGGTGACCCAAGCCAAGGTCCCGCAAACTCCACCGGAGGAGGGACAGCTTAGAGGCCATGGCATAAACCCACCGACATGACCATTGTGAACCCCACCAACGCGGCCATTATCAGCCCCCCAACACGGCCATTATGGGCCCCATCAACACGGCCGTTAGGAACCCCCGCGGGACTGCCGATGTAAACCCCCTCCGACGGCACGGCCTTTATGAAGGGGGGTGCTGGTAGTGCGGTGGGCCCCACTCCATAGAGAGCACAAGCATGGAGTTCGCACGGCCAGTTGGACCAAGCGTAACGGACGGACGTCACGGCCCTGCTGGTGTTGATGCAGGTGGAGATGTTGAGGAAGACACTCTGGGCTTGTACAGAGACGATTGGGGCTTGGTGCCAATCTGGGTCGAGACACTGACCGAGGACTTGGGAACAGCAGATCTGCGATGAAGAAGAGATGACAGAGAAGGGGGAGAGGAGGGAAGGGGAGGGGAAAAGAGGGTAGTGGTTCAGAGAGGAGATGGGAGCAGGGAGAGTAGAGGAGAGAGAAAGAGGAGAGATTATGATTATACAATGATGAGAAAACGTGTAGTAGGATAATGTGGAGTGAACTGCATTTGAACAATAGACAATCTGTATTCGTACTGGAAGTAGAGAAAAGTACTGATAACGCGATAATTGATATTGTATCTTATGGTATCATGGAACATGACCTCTGACCTGAAATTCGCCCCGTCCGTCATTGCGGTGGCTCAGCGTCTGTCCATATCTGATGACGAGCATCTGGGTTGTGAGGTTCACAGTGGCCAATTCTGGGAAGGGCCCCTGGAATATGGAGGAACTGTCATTGTAGGCAACGGCCATCGCACCCAGCAGCAGACGGGAGGCAACCTCCTTCTTGTAGCGCGGGTGGATCCTGTACAGAGAGATATATTATACACTACTCTACACAACTATACACTACACAACATTATATTCTACATTTCTGTACAGTAAACTATATTATATACTACACTACGTTATACTCTATATTACAATACACAACAACACATGATCTCCTACACTACACTATATTTTATACTACACAACTATATCCTGCACATTATTTTCTACATTACTGTACACTCCACTACATTATATACTGCACTACTCTACACTGCACCATATACTACACCACTATACACTACACTATATACTGCTTCTACTATACACTGCGCCATACACTACACTACTATACACTACATTGTATACTACACTACTATACACTACATTATATACTACACTACTATACACTTCATTATATACTACACTACTATACACTACATCATATACTACACTACTATACACTACATTATATACTACACTATACACTACACTACTATACACTACATTATATACTACACTATATACTACACTACACTATACACTACACTACTATACACTACATTATATACTACACTACACTATATACTACACTACTATACACTACACTATACTACACTACTATACACTACATTATATACTACACTACTATATTCTATTACACTACATTATATACTACACTACTATATTCTATTACACTACATTATATACTACACTACACTATATACTACACTACTATACACTTCATTATATACTACACTACTATACACTACATTATCTACTACACTACTTTACACTACATTATATACTACACTACTATATTCTATTACACTACATTATATACTACACTATACACTACTATACACTACATTATATACTACACTATACTACGCTACACTATATACTACACTACTATACACTACATTATATACTACACTATACACTACACTACATTATATACTACACTACTATACACTACACTATATACTACACTACTATACACTACATTATATACTACACTATACACTACACTACTATACAATACATTATATACTACACTATATACTACACTACACTATATACTACACTACTATACACTACATTATATACTACACTATACACTACACTACATTATATACTACACTACTATACACTACACTATATACTACACTACTATACACTACATTATATACTACACTACACTATATACTACACTACTATACACTTCATTATATACTACACTACTATACACTACATTATCTACTACACTACTTTACACTACATTATATACTACACTACTATATTCTATTACACTACATTATATACTACACTATACACTACTATACACTACATTATATACTACACTATATACTACGCTACACTATATACTACACTACTATACACTACATTATATACTACACTATACACTACTATACACTACATTATATACTACACTATATACTACGCTACACTATATACTACACTACTATACACTACATTATATACTACACTATACACTACACTACATTATATACTACACTACTATACACTACACTATATACTACACTACTATACACTACATTATATACTACACTATACACTACACTACTATACAATACATTATATACTACACTATATACTACACTACACTATATACTACACTACTATACACTACATTATATACTACACTATACACTACACTACATTATATACTACACTACTATACACTACACTATATACTACACTACTATACACTACATTATATACTACACTACACTATATACTACACTACTATACACTTCATTATATACTACACTACTATACACTACATTATCTACTACACTACTTTACACTACATTATATACTACACTACTATACACTACATATATACTACACTATACACTACTATACACTACATTATATACTACACTATATACTACGCTACACTATATACTACACTACTATACACTACATTATATACTACACTATACACTACTATACACTACATTATATACTACACTATATACTACGCTACACTATATACTACACTACTATACACTACATTATATACTACGCGACTATATTCCACTACACTACATTATATACTACACTACTATATTCTATTACACTACACTATATACTACACTACTATATTCTATTACACTACATTATATACTACACTATACACTACACTACTATACAATACATTATATACTACACTATATACTACACTACACTATATACTACACTACTATACACTACATTATATACTACACTATACACTACACTACATTATATACTACACTACTATACACTACACTATATACTACACTACTATACACTACATTATATACTACACTATACACTACACTACTATACACTACATTATATACTACACTATATACTACACTACACTATATACTACACTACTATACACTACATTATATTCAAGTATCCCTAGATTTATGAACGTTTGGTTTACGAAATTTCGTGTTGACGCAATTGAAAAATGATGGACACTTTCTAATAACACAAGCAAATTTGCGGGTGAACGGGATTTCACATGGCACACGCCGTAGTTCTCGGCAACTCCTGTTGCCTGCGGGGACAGAGATCAAACTATCTGCAGAAAAATCGCAGACTTTAAGATATTTTTTGAGATCGGCTAATTCCGCGGTCAGAGATAATTGCTGAAGTGGAATCAGCAGTGAGACAGCTCCCACAATCAAGCTGAGATTATTAGGCATGAGGTTGCCAAAATGATTGAGAACAGTAGATTTACAAGAACAAATATTAGTTTCAGTGAGACCAAAGCTTTAAGAGAATTGAGAGCAAATACAGATATCCAAATTCTTGCTGCTTATAAGGGCCAATCAACTGTTGTGATGCCCCGTGAGGAATACGATAATAAATCAAAGATTTACTTGATGAAGGTACCTACCTTAAAATTAGACGAGACCCAACCAACACTTTGGAACGTAAAACAACAGCAATCATTGCCAAGTCATCAATTCCCAAGGAAGAGCAATACCTGATCAAATCAAGGGCGTAAAACCACCCAGACTTTATGGGCTACCAAAAATTCACAAACCCGATGTACCATTAATACCCATAGTACAATAGACTCTGCCACATACATTCATCATCTCGTAAACAGAGTTAAAGAGAAACGTCGTGATTTTTTAGATCATTTTTCTATCTGGCGACCTCTCCGACTCCCCCCCTCTCTCCCATCTCTAGCCCCGCCCCCTCTCTTCCATCTCTAGCCCCGCCCCTCTCTCCCATCTCTAGCCCCGCCCCCTCTCTCCCATCTCTAGCCCCGCCCCCATCTCTAGCCCCGCCCCCTCTCATCCCATCTCTAGCCCCGCCCCCCCTCTCCCATCTCTAGCCCGCCCCCCTCTCCCCATCTCTAGCCCCGCCCCCTCTCCCACCTCTAGCCCCGCCCCCCTCTCCCACCTCTAGCCCCGCCCCCCCTCTCCCATCTCTAGCCCCCCCGCCCCCCTCTCCCACCTCTAGCCCCGCCCCCCTCCCCACCTCTAGCCCCGCCCCCCCTCTCCCACCTAGCCCCGCCCCCTCTCCACCTCTAGCCCCGCCCCTCTCTCTCCCCATCTCTAGCCCCGCCCCATCTCTAGCCCGCCCCCTCTCTCTCCCATCTCTAGCCCCGCCCCCCCTCCCATCTCTAGCCCCGCCCCCCTCTCCCCCATCTCTAGCCCCGCCCCCTCTCCACCTCTAGCCCCGCCCCCCTCTCCCACCTCTAGCCCCGCCCCCCCTCTCCCATCTCTAGCCCCGCCCCCCCTCCTCCCACCTCTACCCCGCCCGCCCTCTCCCACCTCTAGCCCCGCCCCCCCCGCTCCCACCTCTAGCCCCGCCCCCTCTCTCCCACCTCTAGCCCCGCCCCCTCTCTCCCATCTCTAGCCCCGCCCCCCCTCTCCACCTCTAGCCCCGCCCCTCTCTCCCACCTCGCCCCGCCCCCTCTCTCCCATCTCTAGCCCCGCCCCCTCTCCCCCATCTCTAGCCCCGCCCCCCTCTCCCATCTCTAGCCCCGCCCCCCTCTCCCCCATCTCTAGCCCCGCCCCCTCTCCCCCACCTCTAGCCCCGCCCCCCTCGTCCCCACCTCTAGCCCCGCCCCCCTCTCCCATCTCTAGCCCCGCCCCCCCCTCTCCCCACCTCTAGCCCCGCCCCCCTCTCCCACCTCTAGCCCCGCCCCCCCCCTCTCCCACCTCTAGCCCCGCCCCCCTCTCCCATCTCTAGCCCCGCCCCCCCTCTCCCATCTCTAGCCCCGCCCCCCTCTCCCATCTCTAGCCCCGCCCCCCCCTCTCCCACCTCTAGCCCCGCCCCCCCTCTCCCACCTCTAGCCCCGCCCCTTCTCTCCCCCACCTCTAGCCCCGCCCCCCTCTCCCACCTCTAGCCCCGCCCCCCTTTCCCATCTCTAGCCCCGCCCCCCTCTCCCACCTCTAGCCCCGCCCCCCTCTCCCATCTCTAGCCCCGCCCCCCTCTCCCACCTCTAGCCCGCCCCCTCTCCCATCTCTAGCCCCCCCGACCCTCTCCCATCCTCTAGCCCCGCCCCCCTCGCCCACCTCCTAGCCCCAGCCCCCACTCTCTTCCCCCACCTCTAAGCCGCGCCCCCCTCTCCCACCTCTAGCCCCGCCCCCCGCTCACCATCTCTAGCTCCCTCCCCCCCCTCTCCCATCTCTACCCCGCCCCCCCCTCTCCCATCTCTAGCCCCGCCCCTCCTCCTCCGCATCTCTAGCCCCGCCCCCCCTCTCCCACCTCTAGCCCCGCCCCCGCTTCCTCCCATCGCCTAGCCCCGCCCCCCTCTCCCATTCTCTAGCCCTCGCCCCCCCTCTCCCCTCCTAGCCTCTATGCGCCCGCCTCCCCGCCTCCCCCACCTCTAACGCCCGCCCCCTTAACGCTCCCCTATATAGCCCGGCCCCTCTCTCCCCCACCGTCTAGCCCGCCAGCCCCCCTTAGCCCTCCCTATATGCCCCGCCACCCCTCCTCTCCCCCAACTCTAGCCCCGCCCCCTTACCCTCCCCTATAGCCCCCGCCCCCCCTCTCCCCCACCTCTAGCCCCGCCCCCCCTTACCCTCCCCATATATAGCCCCGCCCCCTCTCATAGCCCCCACCTCTAGCCCCGCCCCCTTACCCTCCCCTATATAGCCCCGCCCCCTCTCTCCCCCACCTCTAGCCCCGCCCCCTTACCCTCCCCTATATAGCCCCGCCCCTCTCTCCCATCTCTAGCCCCGCCCCCCCTCTCCCATCTCTAGCCCCGCCCCCCCTCTCCATCTCTAGCCCCGCCCCCTCTCTCCCCCACCTCTAGCCCCGCCCCCTCCTCCCCCCACCTCTAGCCCCGCCCCCTCTCTCCCATCTCTAGCCCCGCCCCCTCTCTCCCCCACCTCTAGCCCCGCCCACTTACCCTCCCCTATATAGCCCCACCCCCCCTCGCCCCCACCTCTAGCCCCGCCCCCTTACCCTGCCCTATATAGCCCCGCCCCCTCTCTCCCCCACCTCTAGCCCCGCCCCCTTACCCTGCCCTATATAGCCTCGTGTCACGGCAGCGCCCTCGCCTGCTTCAGCAGTTTCCCTGCTGTGATTGTCTCACCTGGTGACGGTCGCTTCTGTTGCGATAGAAACGTTGTGATCTATTATTTTCTACCTACGTGACTTTACCAAAAGAACCAAAGAGTATGAGTATAAAGATATTAAGCTTAACCCTAATGGTATTCTCGTATGTTTTGATGGGACTTCTCTGTTCACGAGGGTTCCGGTCAACAATTAAATTAAATTACTCGACACTTTGGTAATAAACATAGGTTTAGCCAAAGATATACCAAGACTAGCTGAACACTGTCTAAAGAACACCTATTCTTTTGGAAAGATGACTTCTATAATCAAAAGGGAGGAGCAGCAATGGGCTCTCCTGTGATAGCGAATTTGTACGTGGAATTTTTTAAACAAAAGCAATAGCTTCAAGCACACGAAAACCCTCTACTTGGTTTAGATATGTGGATGACACATTGGTAGTCTGGCCACATGGCAAAGATGCACTTAACTAACTTCTCAATCATCTCAACTCGCAAAACCCATCCACCCAGTTCACCATGGAAGTGGAAGCTGACAGAACTCTACCATTTCTGGATATTCTGCTTGGACGTAGTGGAAATGGCAAAATAACACAGCATTTCATATTCTTTGGGTCTTTCGGTGAAGTCACGTAGATAGGTTCATTGGAATTACAAAAATAACAAAAAACTGCGACATTTCGATCGCAACACAAGCGGTCATCAGGAAAAGGAGGTTTGTTATTTCAATGAACCTCTCTACGTGACTTTACCGAAAGACCCAAAGAATATGAATTCCTGCAGTCACGAGAGCTTTAAGTCAAGATTTAACACAGCATTTACCGAAAGAAAATGCACACTGACGCCTATCTGAATGCAGAGTCACACCATCGCCCCGCACAGAAATCTGCTCTTATCAAGACGCTCATTCATCGCGCTAAGAAAGTGTCAGATGGTGATAGTCTGAGAAGTGAAATTAAACACGTCAAAGAAGCGCCTCAAATGAACGGTTACAATGATGCACAAATCAACAGGGCATTGGATGCCAAAACCAAATCAAATAACACGGGCATTGAAACTGCCCAAGTAATTCAACTGGCTGGATAGGGGAAAGTAAAGGGAGGGGAGTCAGGGAGCACGATGCTTAAGTCAGCCACTCACCACCCGTAGTTGGAGTTGCGGTCACACAAGTCGATGGTCACGGCCATGAAGGTTTTGGGCATTCGCGAGTTGGGGGAGAAACCGTAGTCTGCAGACTGGTGCCAGCGAATGCGTGGATACGAGTCCGTGTTGTCACCTGGGTCACTGGTGGAGATCTAAAGACAACGGTAGAGAGACGCCGGGAGACAGATACGAGGAGTTACGCAGAAAGAGAAAGAAAGAGAGATGTTGAGCGATATCGGGGCGAGAGACAGGAACAGACAGGGAGAGATTCGAGGAGAGAGACCAGGGGAGAAAGATGTTGAATGAGACATGGGAGATAAACATGGGCAGAGAGAGATAATTCTGATAAAGATGGTCCAATATGATACAAATTTTAGTGTAAAGTTGTATTGCTATTAGGGACTCACCCTTGACAAATCTAAACACATTAATCAAAGAGTTTCCCAAAAGTTGGTAAAAAAAAACAAGCACTAAAAGGATAAGCTTTTTCAGCCATGCCATGGTAATTAAGTCAGACATCCCAGTCATGCCGGTCGTTATTTGCAGCCATGACGAATCCACTGCTGGATGGTTTAACTTCTCACCTGCGCAAATCCAAATGGCAGAAGCGGGTCTGTGTTGCCATTGGTGGCTATGGAGAATCCCTGACGCCAGTCGTTAATCATGGCCGGGAAGCTGCAGTTGTAGAGGTCAGTGTTGTGCCCAGTGTTTCTTTCACCTGCTCAAGGAACAAGGAAGAGAGATGTGCATCTAGAGTGGCACATGTATGTTGAACTTCTTTCGCACCATACATAGCCAACCATGCTCATCGGAGGTGTGGGGAAGGACAACAAACTAAACGCAAAAATCAGTTCTAAAATATTTGTTTCCAATCGAGATTTAAAAGTGCATCATAGCTCCAGCGGCTTCCTAATATTGAAAGGTCGGTCCAGACGACCGCAGAAGCGCATCTGAAGTACGCGATGCGGTAACCATCTTTGTTCGATGGCAAGCCAAAAGTTACTGCGAGGATGACCGGAGTTAGCATGATGGTTTATGCCCCTTGATGAGATCAGCAAAGTATTGTGGTTCATTTGTGGAATGTATTCAGCAACCGTAAACAAATGCAGCTCGGTGAGTAGCGGGCGGACACGGTCGGATCTTGCAGTACCCATCACGACACGTGCTGCATCTTGCTAAGATTTTTTCCAGACGTCTTGTAGAGTAGTGAGTTTATATTTTGCACATGATTATCAATGATACTCATGAGTAGTTGAATGCAGTCACCTTCCAACAACAGAGGGAGGAAAAGTGATGCTCACAACAATGAGCAAAACACTGGATGGATAAAATGCAGCGAGTTGGCACATTCGGGGGCACAGGTGGTGCATCTGCCAGTCATCTCAATCAACCCATGGCACCTGCGTCTGTCCAATGACCTCCTGCCACTGAGCCTCATTACACGTATTGTGATAGCCTCAAAGTGCACCTGGCCTAGCACAAGCGCCGTGGTGACTTCACCACCACTAAGTGGCGAATGGCATCTGTTGTTTAATTTACGTTTATGTGTTAATGTATGTCACTGACCTTGGTACCAGATGACCCCTTTGAGGCTCATATTGAGCAGAGGGTTAATCATTGCGTTCCACAGCACTGTTGGTTCCAGTCGATCACTACATTAAAAGACAGAGATCCCTGGTATAGCCTACACAGACTTTTGGGATAAATGCTGTCAGCGAGCTCCTATGAATGCCGTTACAGCATCCAATGAGGTGGCGTCTGCCAGTGCCATGCTGATAAGCTTACAAACATAATTAGACTAGAAAAGGCTTATAGTGAGTACACTGAAGTTGAACAACTTTGCTCCTTCCAGACGTACAGTAGATGATAAAATATATAAACATTTCAATTGCAATTTTTGGTAACTTAAAATAGTCAATTGCCACGAGTGATTCAGTTGCCTCTGATAACTATTTTCCACTGCAAAACTGAGCTGTATTGCCGACGTCACACGCAGTGAATGAGTGGAGACGCGTGGAGGTGATGCTTGGCCCTGAGTCAGACGCAGATGTGTTGTGAGGCCAGAGTATCGTGGCTTGGCTCTGGAGCGACATGGCAAATAGCCTTTAAACAATCACCCATAGACTTTATGGGTCTGTATGTCCCCTATGAGGGTCTATGGGTGTCTGTGCAAGTCAATGGGTTTCCGTGTGAGACCACGCATTTCCCCATTACACGTACTTGCTTTGAGGCTGTGCGTTGATTCCGCAGTGTGCGAGGGCTCGGGGTGAGGACCAGGATTCGATGAAGGTGCCACCCCAGCAGGACTGCACCAATCCCACGGGGACCCTCAGAGTCAGGTGTAGGTTCCTACCAAAGAACCAACAGACGGCTGAGAAGACGGTGTATTCTCCCATGCCCAGACGGTCTAGAAACACAGAGAGACAGACACACACAGGTTTCGACAAAGATTCCCCGTGTAACCTCTAACAGACTGGTTATGCAAGTGCCATTAGCGAGCACCTATTAAGGCTGACACGGCACATGATGTGGTTGGCCAGTACCACACCCAGCTACGCCTTTGCCTCATGGTGACATTTGTACACTGCCCCAAGCACTCATTCCGGGGCTCGTCTACCTGGGAGAGGTATTCACGACCAACGTTGGCTGTTGGTGCGAATGCATTGCACATTTTTGAGAGCAAATTGGTTGCACAATTGATGGCCTGTGAGTGGATGTGCCTTCAAGTAAAGTCTTCGGTTTGTTTGTATCACCCTGATAGCGGCACAAAGGGTCCCATAGACACAGCGAACAAGCTCACCGTCCGCACCACTGAGCGAACCGGGACACTTCTCAGTCAGCTGCGGTCGATAATATCACCACTGTAGTTTCCTGCGATAGATTTCAACACAATACTGGTACCATATCTCAATATAATAAAATTCTTGCCACACAGGTGCCAATCATTGGACTGTCCGTGTGAAACTCAGAGCGGTGATGAGCGCTCACCAGCTGTGGGGAGACTCCAGGGGAGTGCGACCGACGTGAAGTCGGCGAGGGGCTGCAGCGACCCGTTCAGGGAGACTGCGAACAGGCGGACGAGAGAAAAGTCGGCGGCTTGAGCCAGCTCCCAACTTGCATTCACGACCTGGACACGGGGACACGCAGTTACACAGAGACACGGAGACACGCAGTTACACAGGGAGATGGGGACACGCAGACACAGAGGCACGGAGTTACACAGGGAGATGGGGACACGCAGACACAGAGACACGGAGTTACACAGGGAGATGGGGACATGCAGTTACACAGAGACACGGAGTTACACAGGGAGATGGGGACACGCAGACACAGAGACACGGAGTTACACAGGGAGATGGGGACACGCAGACACAGAGACACGGAGTTACACAGGGAGATGGGGACACGCAGACACAGAGACACGGAGTTACACAGGGAGATGGGGACATGCAGACACAGAGATACGGAGTTACTCAGGGAGATGGGGACACGCAGACACAGAGACACGGAGTTACACAGGGAGATGCGGACACACAGACACAGGGAGATGGGGACACGGAGACACAGTGACACGGAGTTACACAGGGAGATGCGGACACACAGACACAGGGAGATGGGGACACGCAGACACAGAGACACGGAGATACACAGGGAGATGCGGACACACAGACACAGGGAGATGGGGACACGGAAACACAGTGACAACGGAGTTACACAGGGAGATGGGGACACGCAGACACAGAGACACGGAGTTACACAGGGAGATGGGGACACGCAGACACAGAGACACGGAGTTACACAGGGAGATGGGGACATGCAGACACAGAGATACGGAGTTACTCAGGGAGATGGGGACACGCAGACACAGAGACACGGAGTTACACAGGGAGATGCGGACACACAGACACAGAGACACGGAGTTACACAGGGAGATGCGGACACACAGACACAGGGAGATGGGGACACGGAGACACAGTGACACGGAGTTACACAGGGAGATGCGGACACACAGACACAGGGAGATGGGGACACGGAGACACAGTGACACGGAGTTACACAGGGAGATGCGGACACACAGACACAGGGAGATGGGGACACGGAGACACAGTGACACGCAGACACTTCTTCTTCTTCTTGTTTGTCCATCAAAGTTGATGATGACCATGGCACGTTTGTCATTTTGTTGGGGTTTGATGAGTGCGCAGATGGCTGAAGAGGCCAATCCGAGCCCGGAATTCCCTGTGGCACACTGGACAGGTAAGGGAGGATGTAGAGCTCTGAGGTGCAGCCACACGTCCTTCCTTGGTAGATTTGCGCTGCTGCCTCTTCAAGATGGCACAGGAGCTTCTCCTACTCTCACAGAGGACTGCACCGTCCTGTACTTTTCTTCTCCAGGCAGGTCGGTCCTGTGCTAGGGATTCCCAGCTTTTCAGGTCGAATCCAAAGCTCTTCAAGGAAGCTTTAAGGGTGTCCTTGTAGCGCTTTTTGGGGCCACCTTGTGCTCGCTTGCCATTCCTCAGCTCGCCAAAGAAGACTTGTTTTGGAAGTCTCGCGTATGGCATTCTGGTCACGTGGCCAGTCCATCTAAGCTGTTCCTTCGCAAGCAAGGTGTAGATGCTGGGGATATTTGCCTTGCTGAGGACTTCCGTGTCAGGGATTCTGTCTTGCCACTTGATCCTCAGCAGTTTCCTCACACAGCTCAAGTGGAAATGATTCAATTTCTTGGCATGGCGCTGGTAAACTGTCCAGGCTTCGCACCCATACAGAAGAGTTGGTAAGACAACAGCCCGGTAGACCTTCAGTTTTGTCTCCTGCTTGATGCCAGTCCTTTCCCATACCGAGTCACGTAGACGTCCAAAGGCTGCACTGGCCTTGACAATCCTGATGTTAACTTCATCATCTATGTGCACAGCGCGAGACAGTGTACTACCAAGGTAAGTAAACTTGTCAACGGCTGAAAGCTTTTGCCCATTCACAAAGATGGTTGGCTCAGTGTAGGGTTTCCCAGGAGCAGGTTGGTATAGGACTTCAGTCTTCTTTGTGCTGATTGTTAGGCCGAAGTTGTTGCAGGCTGAGGAGAGGTGGTCCATACTGTCCTGTAGATCTTTATTTGAGCCAGCAGCCAGAGCACAGTCATCAGCAAACAAAAGTTCTCAAACAGTGATTTCCTCCACTCTAGTTTTGGCTTGCATCCTCCCCAGATTGAATAGCCCACCGTCAAAACGGTAGATGAAGTTAATCCCAGTGTTGTGGTTCTGGAATGAGTCTTGCAGCATGGCAGAAAACACCATGCTGAAGAGCGTTGGCGCTAAAACGCAGCCTTGCTTCACCCCGTTTGTGATTGGGAACGGATCAGAGAGTTCACGCAGACACAGAGACACTGAAACACGCAGACACAGAGACACGTAGACACGCAGACACAGGGACATGGGGACACGCAGACACGGAGACACGGAGACACGCAGTTACACAGGGAGTCATCTTCTTGGTTCTTTCGGTAAAGTCACGTAGAAGGGAAGTAATAAAATAATAAAAATAAAACATAATAAAACAATTCTCACGACGTTTCGGCCACAACGCAAGCAGCCGTCCTCAGGTGAAGAATGAGACAATGCCAAGATAGGAGCTTATATAAAAGCTTTTTATTTTTATTATTATTTTTTTATTATTTTATTACTTCCCTTCTACGTGACTTTACCGAAAGAACCAAGAAGAAGAAGATGAATCCCTGCAGTCACGAAAGCTTTAAATCGAAATTTACACAGGGAGATGAGGACACGCAGACACAGGGAGATGGGGACACACAGACACAGGGAGATGGGGACACACAGACACAGGGAGATGGGGACAGACACGGAGACACGCCGATACAGAGACATGAGGACACCCAGACACAGAGACATGCGGGCATGCAGATACAGAGACACGGGGAGAATAGACACAGCTATTATGTTGTCACAGCAAACGAAGGGTGATGGTGGCTAGGGCGGGCTCTATCTGCAGCGTGTTCTGAGGCCTGAGTGGGGGTGGGGGAAGTGCTGGACAAGTGGTTTGTGATGAAGCGAAACCTCTTTACCTGCTTTACAGTCATCTGCATGTTGCTTTGCCCACCGCAAAGCCACACTTCTCCGAACCAGACGTCGCTGATCACTAACTCTGCCACTTCCCCCCCAGTGCCGTTCCTGACAGGGCTCCACTGGGTGGCATTGAGAGAGAACGGCCCCCCAGCATCCATGGGGTCTAGGGTCACGGACCACCTGGTTGACTCTACACACACACATGCACACACATGCACACACACATGTCCACCATATAAACTTATAATAATAGTAACACGCCGCGCAGTACTCGCCTACTCGTGTAGAGAGACAGACAGAACGACTCGGGAACGAGGAACGACAACCAGGAAGGCAGCCACGTGATGAGCCGGAGCCAACAATTGCCCAAGTTCCGTGGTCCTCTATATATGAAGGTGTGATCGGCCAATTAACGAGCGCTTACAATTTTGATTTAAAGCTTTCGTGACTGCAGGGATTCATCTTCTTGGTTCTTTCGGTAAAGTCACGTAGAAGGGAAGTAATAAAATAATAAAAATAAAACATAATAAAATTAAAATTAATTTTATTATGTTTTATTTTTATTATTACTTCCCTTCTACGTGACTTTACCGAAAGAACCAAGAAGATGAGCGCTTACAAGTTGCAGGACAATGAAGCACCTGGAGAAAAGGCACACGGGCGAGGAGGAGGAAACACTTTGCCTCATGCAGACGGAACAGCTGGAGTCTACACAATTGCTGTACGGCATCTTAGTGGCACCCATGGGAAAGGCGTTTCACAACATTTGTGTCATCCACCAACCATTCACACTGCTGGATTACTTGCAGAGCCAATACAGCACAGCAAACCGGCGAGACTTAAGAGATAGTTGGGCAAGTTCTGTTAGCTAGCACCAGCACGGCACACGAAGGGGTGAGTGACCAGTACCACACACACAGTTGCGTTTGTCTTCCCAGTGCTGTTGTTTACACACCGCGCCAGATACTCATTTGAGACATAATTCGACCTAGGGAAGGCCCAACACTGGTTGAGATCATTATCACTGGTGTTGGCCGTGAGTGGGAATCTAACTCGCCGGGTTTGTATTGCAGTGCGTTGCTACAAAACCTCTCACCATACACACACACAGTCTTCGGGTCCTTGATTAATCATTGCCCTTGTTTAACTTGTTGATGTCTCACTGAACAATGCAATGCGGTGTATCACTGGAACCTTCAAGTCAACCCCAGCACCCTGGCTGCCTATGCTGTCACAAATCTCTCTCCCACCCATCCACCGCAACCCTCCGGGAAGTCCTGGAAATCGAGGAAAACAGTCCCCTTCCAATTCATCAGGACCTCAATAACGCCCCTAGTCATCACTTCAAGTCACGCAGGCCCTTTTGGACCCATGCGTTTAACCTGAAACAATGCGAATTCAACCCCGATGGCGCTTGCTTGGAAAGCTGGAGTTCAAAAGAACTAACAAACATCTTATGAAAGACGCAACGCAGACGATCCCTTGTATTGATCTTCCACGAAGCTCATGGTCCACCCTAAACCGCATCAACACAAACCATGGCAGCTGGTTTGTTGTGGATTTAATTTCACATTGGATGCACAAATGCAAAATTAAAAACTCTCCAGTGTACGGCTGTGGCCATGTAGAACAGACAATGCAACAGATAATGCAACAGACAATGCAACAGGACAATGCAACAGACAATGATGCAATGCCCGATGCACAAACACGAAGGAGACATAGGTGATACACTACTCTGCTGCTTGGCACCCTGTGTGTGTGGAATTGTTGCTCTGCATCTATATCAGCTGCCATACGAATGAAGAAGCACTGCTATTGCGTTCGTCGCTTGGTGAAAAGGGTTCGCCCTTTGATCAACTCAAAGATTTAATTATGACAACTCGTGCGCTAAAGAACCGGTTGTGGCCAGTCGTGAGGGAACTGATAGCCCACTTTGGTCAGGACATGTGCCGCTTGACAGAAATTGTTTTTTAATCATCACCATCATCATCAGTCGTGATCGCAACCACTGCTGGATGAAGGCTATCCCAAGCCCCCACCACCACCACCACCACCTCTCATGATCTTGTAATGCAACAATGCATTCAGCACCTGCACATGAGCTGAATTAGTCCATCTGCTCGATGAACATCTTCTTGGACACGTTCCATTCTTTGGCTGCCACTCCATTATCACTCTTCACTATCGTCTATCATTAATGCTTTTCTTCAAATTTTGAAAAAATGTTCGCCTTTCGCTATGTCTGAGAAGAGGAAATGTGATGCACGGGCAGAAAAGTACTTCAGGGATTTGTAAATGTAATTTCTGAATAAATGTTTGTAAAAGTAATGTTAAATCTTGACTTTAAGCTTTCGTTACTGCAGGAATTCATATGCTTGGGTCTTTCGGTAAAGCCACGTAGATAGATCAAATAATAAGAAATACGAAAAATAATAATAATATAAAAAAAATCTACGTGGCTTTACCGAGAGACCCAAGAATATAAAGTAATGTTAAGTTTCAATAAATGTTTGTTAGGGTAATTTTTACTTATTTTCGTGATCAATTTCGGTATTTTATGGTATGTAATGGGTTTCCAGGAACGGAACCCCAATGTATAACATTGCGCCTATGGGAGATGAGGATTCGGCTTACGACGGCTCCACTTGCGACCGCCGTCCAGGAACCAATTAGGTCGTAGGTGCGGGGGGTCCAGCAATGAAGCAAAAAGCAAATCAGGACAAAGCTGTTAACAGCTCGGCGGAGACAGAGACCTGCCGACACGTTGCTCCCGTGCTCCTGCAGCAAGTCCTCATCCGCGTTGTAGAGTCTCACGACCACCTTGGCTCCCGCTTTCCCGAACCCCCACACGAAGGCGCCGCGTGGTCCCCTCTGCAGGACCATGTGGTCCCCGTAATAGGAGGCCAAGCGGAATTTCAACCAAGCGTGTGGAGGTACCTGGGGCTGGGAGGTACAGAGTGCCAATGGTTATGACGGTGGTGATTGTTGTGATGTTGGTGCTGATGGTTGTGGAAATGATTGTTGTGGTGATAAGTGGTGATGGTGGTGGTGGTAGTGATGAAGGTTTGGTGGTGGTGGTCATAGTACTGCAGTAGTGAAGGTGGTGATGAAGCTGATGGTGATAGTGGAGGGCAGAGGGGAGGTGACTGGAAGGTACAGGCATGTGTCAAGCACTCACAGCTGTTGTCAGGAGGCTCGCGTGTGCAATTCACCACCAGCGCCACCAAGCACGCCACCGTCGTCACCCCGACGAGCAGCGCCACCAGCGCCACCAGCGCAGGCACACAGAGTGTGTTCCTGCTGCCATCATGCAGGGTGGGGGACATGGGCATAGATTCACAGAGAAGACTCGAGGCCGTCTTCCAGTTCACTGTCAACGCCTCTAGAACTTGTGCGTGAGCTCTTCATACGACTGGCAAGTGCGTCAAGCTGACCTTTTGCCTTTGCACATGAAGGAGGATGCGGTAGTGTTGTTTTTTTGTTGGCACAGTAGGGGGCACAGGTGGCACAGGTGGTGCATCGGCAGTCATCTGAGTCAATCGACCCATGGCACCTGGGTCTGTCCGGTGACCTGAGGGCGTTCGACACTTCACGTGGCCTTAACGTGCACCTAGCCAGGCACAAGCGCCGTGGTGACATCACACCACCTAGTGGCGAATGGCGGTTGTTGTTGGTAGTGTTGTAGTCACCGCGTTGCGCGACGAACCCGGCGACCCTGGCACGATTCACGTTCACGGTCAACACCAGTGACGATTATCTGAACCGGTCCTGGTCTTACTAGGCCGACTCACTCACACATCATACACTCACTCACACATCATACACTCACTCACACTACCACTGACTCACTCATCTTACACTCACTCACACATCATACACTGACTCACTCACACATCATACACTCACTCACTCACACATCTCACTGACTCACTCACACATCATACACTCACTCACTCACACATCATACACTGACTCACTCACACATCATACACTCACTCACTCACACATCATACACTCACTCACACATCACTCACTCACACATCATACACTGACTCACTCACACATCACTCACTCACACATCATACACTCACTCACTCACAATCATACACTCACTCACTCATCTTACACTCACTCACACATCATACACTCACTCACTCACTCATCTTACACTCACTCACACATCATACACTGACTTACTTACACATCATACACTCACTGGCTCACATCATACACTGACTCACTCACACATCATACACTCACTCACTACACATCATACACTCACTCACACATCATACACTGACTCACTCAACATCATACACTGACTCACTTACACATCATACACTCACTCACACTACCACTGACTCACTCACTCATCTTACACTCACTTACTCATCTTACACTCACTCACACATCATATACTCACTCACACATCATACACCGACTCACTCACACATCATACACTGACTCACTCACACATCTTACACTGACTCACACATCTTACACTGACTCACTCACACTACCACTGACTCACTCACACATCATACACTGGGAGTATCGTGCTGCCAGCTATGGCTGCAAAGTTTGGTCGTACATGTTATATATCATTTATTGTTACATTAAAATCACAGTTCCTATGATTACTGTTGTTACATTGTTTTTATAGCGTTATTTTGGTGATTTCGAAAACAAATGGGTAATCTAAATTGTATTATGGTTGTTATGTTTGACTTGCATCACACTGGGATTTTTGCACACAGCGTTTTTTCTGGAAGATTTGCTTTAAGATGTTCTCTGTTCATATTTGTTTGTTTGCGGTTGCACCCGATTCAAGAGCCGCATGGCTCACAGGGCGACACCTCATAAATTAAACTTGAAACACTGCAGTGAGAACCTGCTGGTCACTATTCATACAGACATTTGCATTCAGTATCATTACTATATAACTTTGCAACATTTTTACACACTTTTATCATTACACACTGTTATTATTATGACTACACACTTGTATTGAAGTTGCCGTGTTGTCTGCTTTATATTCTTTGGAATTTTTCAAGCCTAACTAGCTGAAATTGTCTACACAGACTCAATATTTCATTTTAAAAAACCGGTCCAGGTCCCGCCGCTCCTGGGACATTCGTGTTTCTTTACCGTTCAATATTAATCCTCGTTCCTTTCACTCCCCCTCTTTGAAATCTCGAAAAGTCGCGCCCAGCGACGATGAAAACGTCTCGTCCAATCAGAGCAGCTCTCGGGGAGCCTCGTGCCAGTGTCTCCGATTTCACTTTGTACGAGTAATCGCCGACGTGACTTGTCTTTGACGATAGGCACTCATTGTTTTACCAAAATACCCTCACCATGTACTGTATACAGCTCAGATACAGCACACGGTGAGGGTGTGTATAGCTG